CCTAAACTAACTTTATCTATACTGGATAGCTCTATCAGTTCTAAACTGTTCTTCCTAGAGGTCCAGTAAGGATCATCTCTTATTGATCCAGTGTTACTACAGGAGGAAACCTAAACTAAACTAACTTTATTTATACTGGATAGCTCTATCAGTTCTAAACTGTTCTCCCTAGAGGTCCATTAAGGATCATCTCTTATTGATCCAGTGTTACTACAGGAGGAAACCTAAACTAAACTAACTTTATTTATACTGGATAGCTCTATCAGTTCTAAACTGTTCTTCCTAGAGGTCCAGTAAGGATCATCTCTTATTGATCCAGTGTTACTACAGGAGGAGACCTAAACCATAGTCAAAGAGGTAGCACTCTCTTCTCACATGAGACTGAGGCAAAATTATAATCAAATTCTGCGTGTTGCATATTACAGAATCCAGCTTCCCAGAGCTGTCCACACCCACCTTATTTAATGATCTAGCTAAAAATTTAGTGCCATTCTTCGCTGCAAGAACGGGATAATGTTGTTGAAAGAATTGATGTTCGTCTGTTAGAGCTTCAGCGATTGTCTAAAAGAAGGTGATTACTTGTATTTAGACTGGAATTTTGCAGGCCTGACTGTGGGATATTGCGCGCCATAGGGTTACGGTGCACGCGGAGGTGCGCGCGCAATCGAGTGCCTCAAACAACAAGGCCTGATTGGGTAATCAATGTAATTTTCACAAGAGTAGCAAGCAGAAAACATGCCTACCTTTCTATTGTTAATATCCAACTGACTTCTATTCACAACACCAATTATTCCTAGTTTAACAGGAACGACTATAGAAAATGAAAAAATTACATCACTCAAACGATTTGTTTAAGCCACCAAATGATAAGACTTAGAGAGGCATTTTTCCACTCTATGTCCACCACATCTGTCTGTTTGTTTGACTGTCTATTTGTCAGATCTCCCTTTTCAAATGCCAAAACTCCGTTTTCAAATGCCAAAACTCCCTTTTCAAATAGCAAAACTCCCTTTTCAAATGCCAAAACTCCCTTTCCAAATGCCAGAACTCCTTTTTCAAATGCCAAAACTCCGTTTCCAAAAGCCAGAACTCCCTTTTCAAATGCCAAACCTCCCTTTTCAAATGCCAAAACTCCCTTTTCAAATGCCAAAACTCTGTTTTCAAATGCCAAAAACTCCCTTTTCAAATGCCAAAACTCCCTTTTCAAATAGCAAAACTCCTTTTTCAAATGCCAAAACTCTGTTTTCAAATGCCAGAACTCCCTTTTCAAATGCCAAAACTCCGTTTCCAAAACTCAGAACTCCCTTTTCAAATGCCAAACCTCCCTTTTCAAATGCCAAAACTCAGTTTTCAAATGCCAAACCTCCCTTTTCAAATGCCAAAACTCCGTTTCCAAAAGCCAGAACTCCCTTTTCAAATGCCAAAACTCTGTATATTAAGTATGTTTACCTCTTCCGTATAATATATCTAATGCGTCAGTTCCTGGATCCATGAGATCAAGCTTTGTACACACAGCTATCGTGCGATTGCCTGAAAATATTTAAAAATAGGTACGTTACGCGTACATAAATATACTTTAGGCCAACAAATTTACTTCCCCCTATTAGGATCAACATTTCCAAGTTGCTACTTGCTGTCCTATAATGCTTACTGAAACCTTAATCAATTACCATCAGGGTCCACTTCTTTGGCAATCTTAATTGATTCAGAGGTGGCCATGTCTGTGTTCGCTGGTGTAACAGCCAGAATAATGCTGTTGGGATTACGGATGTACTGTAGGACAAGATTCCTCATCTGATTTTCAATATCTAATGGCTGATCACCCACAGGAACCTTAACAAAAATAGAAATTCTTCAGTTGGTAATCACTGGTCAATGCTAATTCTCTTTTGTATGTTTGTGTCAGTTGAAACCAGTTTAACTCATTGAGTGGCAACCCTCTCCCCCTGACAAGCAAAATTGTCTGGTGTTACACAGAGTAAACTAATAAAGTAGGATGCATCAGGATGCATTGCCACTTAAAGGGTTAAACAAGAGAAACTGCAACACAATGCAGATTCATCACTGAAGAAGAAAACCCAATACAACAAGATTTTGCAAATTGATGCCAACTGCTGTAAGCATTATATATATTTCATATTAGCTGAATGTCAATACTTAGCTGTACCTTAGTAATTCCAGGGAGATCAACTAGTGTTAAATTAACTACTTTTGGTGAATAAACTCTCAGTATAATGGGTTCACTTGATATGCCCTAAAACATGGAAAATATAAAAATAAAGCATACTATGTAAGCTTGGAATTTGATGAGCTTCAGAGGGATGAAAGTCTGCATGCAGCCCCTACCTTGTTATGACCTGTCAGTCGTTCAGTCTCTCTTTCTATCTCATCTCTGATTTCATAAAAGTCTGCAAATTTCTAAGTAAAAAATTGCAACAAAATAATGAGCACAATGAATTTGACTTACTGTAAGCCCTGGGCAAACTAGGAAACATTGTTTCCTACCAATGTTTTGCCATGTTTCCCAGAGTGGGCAAACACTAGGAAACATTAGTGAGAAACATAGGGAAACATCAAATGTTTCTGAATTTGGTACGAAACATTTTTGCTTCCCAGGAAGCAAATTTTGTTTCTGCAACAATGTTTCCTAGTTTGCCCAGGCCCAGGGCTTTACTGTGCAGTATATATCAAACACCAGAATGCTGTGGATTTAGAAGGATTCAACTAACATTTGAATCGAAAAATACAAGCAAAACTTCAACGTTTTGTGTGAAGGCCCTTCCACTAACTTGCCAACGTAGGGCATTCACATCCAAGTTTTGATTGTGATTTCCAGGTAGTTGGATCCCTCTCAAAAAAAAAAACACCCAAAAAAAACAACAACAAAAAACTTCTTCTTTTGAGTTTTCTCACCTTGTCTTTGATATGACTAAACTTGCCCCATTCCTCGGGTTCTGCTTCTTCAAGATCCGGCGACTCATCACCACTGCCGTCACTTTCACTTTTTCTCGTTTTCTTCCAACGTGATGGTGAGTATACAAGCTGTAGGATCAGCGGTCGTCTTGTGACAATACCAGGACCTAATGCCAATGATAGTCAATTAATATAATAGACAATGGTTTTTGAAATGGACTGCTTGACCAGATCAAGTAAAATTTAGGGGTGTACCAGAACCAATTTTTTAGTTCTGGACGGTGCACCTCTAGTAAAATTTATGACATACAACTATGCAAATATAAGTACAACAAGTTACGAGTTGACAATAACATACTTGATTATTGGGCTAAGTTAAGCTTCAATGTTATTGTATTTTGTGTACATTATATAAATTATCATTCACATAAGTTATCATCACCTCTGGGCAAGAAATCTCTTCCAACAATTCCTTCTAACACTGAACTTTTTCCACTGCTCTAAAACAAGAATGAAGAGTATTTGTATTAACCCATTAAGTAGTAAATTATGCACCCTACTTTATTATTGTACTCAGCAGGCCTAGAAAATATATTTCTCTTCCTGGAAGCAAAGCCCAAAAATAAAAATTTCCTGTGTAAGTCAAACATAAAACTTCCTGTTTATGCAAATTTCAGAGAACGTATATGTATGGTGCTGCGCCGCACAATCATACATTGTGACAAACTTCAGTCTCGGCACAATACAGAATCCATTGAACTATAAATAAACTGGAAGGCTAACTGCTATGATGAAAGCAAAATAGTTTTTCTGAGTTATGAGCAGAAATACTTGACCCCAAACGTTGGGCTATATATCAAATTGAAGCTATTGAAAATTGCTATTCGGGGTGGAAATTTCAAGACTTCAGTGAAAAGAAAAATATTTTAAAAATACAAAAACAACTGCAAAACGGCAAATTATCGGTTTGTAGTTTTTCGATATTTCCCTCTTAGCTAAAGTCTTGAAATTTCGACACCAAATAGCGTTTTTCAATAGCTTCAATTTGATATATAACGATATATTGCCCAACGTTCAGTGTTGAGTATTTCTGCTCATAACTCAGAAAAACTAAAATGCACTGGCTTCAATTCCCCCCCCCCCTGAGTTAGCCTTCCAGTTTATTTATAGTTCAATGCAGATATCTTGACTTGCAAAATGCTTTTGGGATTTTTAAACAGTACAGTAAGTGTATTAGAAGTATATGTAACAAAAAATTCCTGCGAGGTGTAAGAAAATTTCCTGCGAAAATAACTTGTGAAAATTTCCTGGCAGCGGTGCTGCTGGTGCTGCCGGACATTTTCCAGCACTGGTACTCATGCTAACACCAGACTATTTTACTTGTCAAGGGGGGAGAGCTGGGCCCAATGAGTTATTCTACAAACAATATGACATTTGCTGCTTGAATTATTCAGGCTGGCGGGGTGTGGAAATTTATATTATATTTTATGCAACCAAGATATCGGGCATGCATCCAGATATATAGTCCATATCTGGAAATATTCTTGTATGGGCAGACACGTTAATACTATAACTAGAAATAGGTGTATTTTGTGCACAACTAATGTATACAAAATGCTTAATATTTACAAACACACAGAGTTAAAATACAAACAACATAAATTTACACAAGATCACATTATAAATCACTTTATGAAATGTGTCAATCAAGTTTTAAAATCATCAGTCAAAATATATCTTCGTTAATATTTTAATATTTTATAGCTTCATAATATTCGACTAATTTGAATACTGTATGGACTTATAGCATTAAAATAAAAGTATGCAGAAATATATGCTTTATTTTAGATTGTGTGGATGAAATAGGCCATAGAATCAACATAATAAAGTTTGAAAATACGAATACATATAATTTAATAACATTTTGTCACAAATATAAAAGTGAAATTCAAAAAAAAATATATTTGGGGCTCTTATACCTGTGTTCCAACAACGACAATTTGTGGCAATTGCACAGCCTCCGTGCCAACGGTATTAAATACATCTTGAAGTTTATTAATAACAGGAATTAACTGCTCCATTGCAATAAATTCTTACAAAGTATAAATATTTTTAAGTTCAAATTGGACTTTCAGTTCAATCAGTTGTCAGAATATACGCGCAAAAAATGTCACGCGATTACATAACTTCCGATTCGCGAAAATTTTATGCCGCCTGCAAGCAGATTACGAAAATTGGTTTGGGGATCTACGAAACGACGATATAAAAACTTGTTTTCTATTTGCATTTCCCGATAAAAGATTAAAAGCACAGCCAGTTGAGATACTTCTTCATTATTTAATTGATAATCGTACAAATATAATTTATTGGGTGGCAATGACATAGCTATAACTTAAATAGGAATATATTGTCAAATACAAGCTCAAAAAATGCAATGAAAACAATGGTTTAAATATCTACAGACGAAGGAAATATAGGGTTAAAAAATTATACTCAAGCACGTATGGCAAATGCGCTTTGACATTGAAATTCGTCTCACTAAACAAGCTTTTTGTCGCATATCCACAGAGTCTAATATATCAATTCATACAGAGTTGCTCGCAGACAAGGAAATACTTCATAGCAAAGTGGAAGCACGCCGCCATATTTGCTGATTCAATATGGCGGAATTTTACTTGAGTGCCGCTCGGATTATTGAAAAGGTTTTACAGAAAAAGGGAACCCCAAAGGCGCTGGTGATTGAAAATAGTAGGATAAGAAACAAGAAGAAACTATATGCTTTAGTTTGCGAGGCAATGAAATGTAAGAACTGTACCGAAAGCGAATTTTATTGCATTTTATTGTAGAGTTCAGAAACGAAGGAGTGAGGACCGTTTCATTTCTCAATAATTTGAACGGAAGAATTGCTTTATTTTGCACGTTTTCACAAACTAGAGGGATAAAATAGCTTACCCATTTGTTAAATTTAAAGCGTGAATGTAGAAATAACCTCAGTTTGTAATTGGGTAATCTTGTTATTCGATTGTTTAATATTGTGAGGCTATTCAAAGGGTTCATTATTGTATCTAGATAAATCTGTAACAGATAAATTATTGGAGGACACAAAATTATTATCAACGGAAAAACAGGTAAATATATCGACACAAATTATGAAATTACCGCAAACCATATAAGATGAAAATCCAATGTATTCTTTACGCAGTTAAAATACCCCATGGCATTGGTTCTCGTCTTCGATTTCTTGTTTGGACTTGGCCTTCAAGTTGGCGGTCAGCTAAAACAGGTTATAAACAGGAATAAAACCAGTTTAAAAGCTGCGCTCGCTAGACTGAAAGTGAGGGCGAAAGTCGTCAACAATGAAGATCTACTGCCGCCAAATATCCAGGAACAACAAGGTGGGTTTTGCAGGAAGAGAGCTCGGAATTCAGGTCGTATAGGACACTAATTATAGGAGAAAGAAGATCAATTGAAAGTATATCTCTCAATTCCATTTATTTGCCACTACATGCAAGGCTACTACATATAGTGACAAAAAATGAACATTATTTTCTCTCTCTGACAACTGCCAGTTAACCACCATCCGCTGCACGACAGTCGACAATGTTTAGTGAAACCTTTCTAATCTGGTAACACATGTTTATTCCATTGCCATCCAATTCAATTACAAATATAATTAAAATGCTTGGTTACCTTTTCTCAATTATATGCTTACATTAGACAGATTTAGATCGCGGACGTCAAAGACGACGTGAAAATGGCGTGGCGTATCCATCCATGGGCACAAGCCATTTTCACGTCGTCTTTGACGTCCGCGTCCTCGATCTAAATCTGTCTAGTATCAGAACATGCGAGTTTTTCGAAAATATGAACTAGGTGGTGACAAACATGAACATCCTGATGACATTTTAAATTGTATTCGTGTCCATTTATATTTGTTTTGGAACAGAAATGCAGATACCGCGTTATGTTCGAGTGAATACAGTGAGAACTTCAACAGATGAAGTCATGACGTGGTTTTCTGAAAATGGTTTTAAGTTACAGCGAAGGAAACGCGACATAGTTGATTCGATTCAGGTATGCGTCGGTGTATGATAAGCAAGAATGTTGTCACTTATGCGTGAATATTTTTTCTTAGATTTAACATGCATTGAAGTCAGTTTTTGTTGCAAGCAATTTTGTTGCTCGTATTATTTATTGTGTAATTGTATTTGTCGTATAAAATTCCAGATGGCAAGTGGGACATTTTCTGTTGACGAACATATTCCAAATGTTTTGGTCTTCCCACCAGGAACAGATCTGCATGACAATATTCTGTATAAAGAAGGCAAGATCATTCTACAGGACAAAGTAAGAACACAAGGATTGAAGATCTATTGCACGCGTCTGTTACTCAGGCGACAATTCCTGCAGTTATCTGTGGGAAGAATGCTTCCAGTTTGACTCTGCCAAGCACCACAGATTCTCTCTAAGTACTGCGGTTCCCCACAGATTCTCTCTAAGTACTGCGGTTCCCTCCTGTAGTAACACTAGACCAATAAAGGAAGACTCTTATTTGGCATCTATACAGAAGAGCAGTTTAAAAATGATAGAGCTATCCTTTATAACACTGGACCAATAACGGGAAACCCTTTCTAAGCATCTAAGAAGAACAGTCTGGAACCGTACATAGAGTAATCCAATAAATAACATTAGTTGATAACACTGGACCAATAAGATTGCCTTTCCTGTCATCTAGGCAAGTTGCTTTCCAGCTTTTGTGCTCAACCCACCAGCCGGAAGTGACGTAATGGACGCATGCGCCGCGCCTGGCAATAAAACAAGTCACCTAGCCGCAATCATGGACAACAAAGGGTCAGTGATCATATGTCATGCACTGTTATATCTTTGTTCAAAGGTGTTTTATCATTTTCATATTCTTGTACAGGCAAATCTTCGCGTTTGATATATCCGAGAAAAGAATTTCAACAATGAAGAAATTACTTCACCGAGCTGGTGAAAAAATTGTCGAGACAAAACATCACGATTTTTTAAAGGTTTGATTGTGCAAATTAGCGTGTCGAGTTTTTTCAGAGACTGTCGTAAGTTTCAATCATACAATCTCCGTCTTCTAGACAGACCCTAGTGATCCTGTGTACACAAATGTCCAATATATCCTAGTGGACCCCTCATGTTCTGGTTCGGGTATGATCAACCGACTGGATTACGTCACTTCCGATATCGACAATATGGTATTGCTCGTTTTTGATGTTGGTTGGTTTGCATGTGTGTGGTAATTATTTATGATTAGGTCCTATTGCAAAACTAGGTGAATTTTTGTCTATATTTTCAGGATGCGAAAGAAAAGCAAAGGGTGTATTCATTGGCGCGGTTTCAAGTGAAAGTCTTGAGTCATGCTCTGAGTTTTCCCAATGTAAAGAAAGTTGTCTATTCAACATGCTCACTACATAGTATTGTACGTATACTATACTTTGTGAACGTTCCACAAAACTCGATGATTCCCATATGGGGATTTATTATTTCTCAATACTAATGTATGATGATTTATTAATTTAGGAAAACGAGGTGGTGGTCATGAAATGTTTGGAAAAATTCCATGAAAAGTTTGAATTAAAGAAGGCATTACCTGACTGGCCACACAGAGGACATGCTGTGTTTCCTGAAGGTATTTAAATCCTGGGCTAAACTAGAAATCATTGTGACATAGTGAATCATTTTCAATTTATTTTCAGCATCGAATTGTGTGCGTGCCTCTCCAAAAGAAGGTTCTACGAGTGGGTTTTTTCTGGCGCTGTTTGAAGCACGAAATTCAACAGGAACAGTTGAGGTTGCGAACCACAAAGGAAACGGAATACAGAGAGACATTAATCATAATGAAATGATATCAAGATTACGAAAGAAACAAGACGTTTCTAGTGTAAATACTAAAGAATCACACGCAGAAGAAAGGGGTGATCGTATTACTACGAACACTGAAATAGACTCCACGAAACGAAAACGTCAATGCACCACGGATACTGGTGAGAAAGTGCAAGGAATAGCACAAAAGAAACGAATTAAATTGACAAGAACACATAGGAAATGTTCCAACAAAGAATTCGAAAACAGAAAAAAGTTACTTGCAAAAAGAAAACTTAAAAAAGAAAGGTTACAGAAACGGAGATTAGAGCAGTAGACACTGCAAATAGAAGACTGTATTAGAAACCCAAATGAAATAGTTTTCAACAGTGGTTGAACCTTCCCAATTTTTTCCAGACATTTTGACTATTTATTGAAATCCATACTATTTTATTATATACATTGTACACAGTATATATAGTTTATTTATATAAATAAATTATATTATCACATCGTCCTGCAATTCAATAAAACTCTGATAAACCAGCCAGAGTTATTTATACAGTGTTTATTCGAAAGAAAATTCAGTTTCGAGAAACCCACCAGAATGCATATTTCGCTTGAAAAAGTGGGCAGTTGCTGGACCCAGGCCAGGTAAAGCGCGTATAGGTGCTGGGCTAGGAGTTTGTCTTTACTATATGAACTATGATATTATTTATATCACGCATAATTGCGGATTTCTAAGTATAACAATTTTAAACTGGTATCATTCTCTACATCAACATCGAGCTTTCGTTGGTAGGGAAAAATACAAGGTGAAATTCGAAGGAGGTTAGTCAAGAGCCTTCGCTCGAAACGTCGAAATTCTCCTTATATTTTTCAGGTAGTTGCATATCCCTACTAACGAAAGCTTGTTATTATTGCCACTACCTACAATGGCACAGGGCATTCAAGATTATTCTCTGAATCAGTATAGACTACGGAGCCTGCTATTCAGATCCATGGGTCTCGTGTTATGTTACTAAAGTCGTGTTTACACAGCAAGGCTTGGCCTTAGCCGTGCTTTCTCTAGGTATGGGAGATCCACCGCAGACCTGGGGCCGGTTGTATAAAAAAGTGATTAAAGTTAACTATGGTTAAGTGCAAACGTCATCCAATAAGAAGCGCCTATTTGAGAGTTAATCACTATTTAACTACAAAATAGTGATTAAAAAAGTGATTAAGAGTTGCATACAACCGGCCCCTGGAGAAAAGTGGGATCTTAAGGATGATTTGCCTCAGCGTGAAATCGCGGAACATTTTCACAAATACGTTATAGGAGATCAGAATCTTAAGCAATCATTATCTCATATTTCCTTATCTGTCTGTTGAGACGTGAAACATAACTACAGTCAAGTATAATTTGTTGTTGCATACATAATCTGATCATAGCGTAACGTATGGTCATATTTTTCTTTTGTTTTTACGCACTTTTGAGGACATTTGAAAAAGGCAAATTCAAGAACCGAGGAACATTAGATGTACTTTTTCAAGGTCTGGGAGATCGACCTCAAAACGCTCCCACCTTCAAATAGCGGCGACACCCTACGATCATCTTCGTTTCTTCTTAGACATGAGAACAGTACAGTTGGGACAAAACCATTTCCCTTTGGGTGGGTCAGTAATTCCCACACAACCATAGTGGAACCATTCGATCCGACACTATAAGAAAAAGTGAGATTTGACAAACACGTAAGAAAAACGTAATCATTAAAAAAACGTTGATTTATGGCTGTAGAAGTTAGGGAGCCAAGCAGCGACACTATCTCCAGGGACCAGTTGTTGAAAGCTGGATTAGCTTAACCCTAGGTTAATCTTAGAAGGTCTGATTTCAAATTTATTCCAAGGGAAACATAGTGTTTTTGGGGAGGGGAGAATTGGCCTAGCACTTTTGGACGGGTAGATTGCTAATCCTGGCTAGGCCCCTGCCTAACATAAATACAATCTGCAAGCACGAGTTGATTTAGAAATACACTTACGTTAGGATTGTCACAGCCGACCATCTCTCCATAGGATACCTACAAGTGAAAAAGAAAAAACCCTCAGTCAGCATCCATGTTCTGCTTTGCCTGCGCGTCGCAACCCCCCTCCAAGAAGATGACACAATTACACACCTGATTACACAAACAATATCGAGGTTCATTAGGATCATAAACCCAGTCAACAGCTTGAGATATCACTTCAGTTTGTAAGGGAACTTGATCGACCGTCGATACAGGGGTCCCAGCTGCAGCAGACGTCTTTTGTCTAAAACATTAAGATTACAATTTTGCTAATCATCCTTACTTGCAGCTAAGAGCTAAGCTAACTTGTGAACGATGCAGCTCAAGTTGATCGAGTCGAACTCTTTCTAAGGGCGCCTCTAGCAGTCACGTCGTGACACATGATCATGGAACAACAGCTACGGTGGAAGACACAGTTAAAGGTGGAGTAATACGAGCAACAAAATTGCTGCAACTTGCAACAAAATCTGATTTCAACACATGTTAATTGAAAATGTTCACACATATATTACAAATCACGAGGCAACATATGTCAACATTTCTACTTAACATACGTTGAAATCAGATTTTGTTGCGCGTATTACTCCTGCTTAAGGGGCTAATCCCAAACCATCCTGTTCACATTCCCTGTGGGAGGAAACCAGAGTACCGAGAGAAAACCCAGGATTGGAGCGTTGACGGACCCTTCACATAAGTAACTTGACTCCGTAGCGAGAATCGAACCCACGATGTCAGAGGCGAAAGGCACTTGCGTTCATGATTATACTGTACCACCGAAGTCGTGGGTTTTCTTCATGTAGCATCGGTAAATGTACAATAATTAAAACGTACTTTTTTCTTGCGTGTTGCTTGCTAGATGGAGTGTTTGCCATAGGGTTCAAGTCGAGGTGGGACATTGATGCCATAGTTGAGGAGGTGGGGACATAGTTGACACTCATCCCAGCAACAGAGTTGACACTCATCCCAGCAACAGAGTTAGCATAAGGATTACCGAGTTGTGGGGCAACTGTTAAGGATGTGCTCATGGGCAAGCCTGAGTGATTTTGGAAAAGAAACAAGTGAAAGATTGTTACAAATAAATAAATAAATAGAGAGCGAGTTGCAAGGGATTATCTGCCGTAAGAGTCATCCTTATTGTCCCAGTGTTACTAGAGGAAGAAGTTTATTTATAGCACTGGATAGCTCTGTTAGTTCTAAACTGTTCTTCCTAGAAGTCCTGTAAGGATCATGCAGTGTTACTACAGGAGGAAACTTAAACTAAACTAACTTTATTTGTACTAGGTAACTCTATCAGTTCTAAAATGTTCTTCCTAGAGGTCCAGTAAGGATCATCTCTTATTGATCCAGTCTTACTACAGGAGGAAACCTAAA